CCCAGAGGGTGCTCAGGCATTGGAACAGGCTGCCCAGGGCAGTGCTGGAGTCACCGTCCCTGCAAGTGTTCACACCCCGTGCAGACAAGGCCTCAGTGCGAGGGGTTAATGGTGGCCTTGGCAGTGCTGGGGGAACGGTTGGACCTGATGATCTTAAAGGTCTTTTCCAACCAAGCTGATTCTATGGTTCTTTAATTCTTGGTTTCCTGTTGCTCTCCCAGCTGCTGACATGACTGCAAAGACCTGGGCTATTCCTTAATTCCAGTCATGAAGTTAACCCCTTCTGTTGAGAAAGCAAAACTCCTGTGCTCCACAGATACGTGAAGGGTCAACAGCAGCTCCAGTTGAGTGCCTCATGTCCAACACTTAAATCTATTTGTGGGGCTCAGGGTTTCTGGTACTGTTCTCATGAGGACAAATACAAGTTTTGCAGCTCTCTGCCAACTAGTGAAAAAGAAAAGCTATTTTGGGTGATATTTTTCCCCTTTTCAAGTGGAGAACTATCAAGTATAAAGGTTTTATGGCAGGAGTTAAGATGAACTTGCAAAGCATGTGGGATCTTGCTACAGCCCTCCCAGGTTAATAGAGGCTAGACCAGACCATACTGTTCTAAATGTGCTCTGTTGTACAACGTGTGCTTTAAGCTCTGCATGACCTCTACTGTAGTAGATATCTGCTACCAAAAGAAAGGGGCATCTGTCACCCTGCTGGCTCTGTTCTCTGGCGAGATGGGCTGTGGGAGAGATGTAGGTAAGTTTCCTGCTGTCCTCCATGCTTGCTTCCACGGCATCCACAAGAGATGAAGTCTCCAAATGTTGTTGTTTCCTTTTTCCTTGAGAGTCTGTTTATAGGTGAGGCCTTGCTCATGGCACTACTGCTTCTTCCAGGGTTCACCTGCAGAAGATGGGAGTGATGAGGCCACCTGCTGAGGTAGCCAGGTATACGATGATCTTCCACAAGCGAGACCATGGTAATGAGGAGAATGAAGAGAGGTGAGTCAGGAACAGGCTTCCACCTTCCATGTGGCCAAGCACCTGGGGCCAAGAGCTGTGTTCTAGGCCAAATGGGCATTTTCATGCCTGATTGTCCATGCTGGGGACAGGAAAAGCATGATTTTATGTTGCCAGCAGTACAGAACAGCAGTAGCTCTGCTTCCAAGTTTACTAGTTAGTGGGAAAGAGCCCAGAATATCCCTCCTGAGCATGTCAGTGAAGATTTTCTCCTCTTTTCTTAGGATGAAGCTTCTAAGTCAGGTATCTAACACATGGAAAACAGATGGGCTGAACTCCTGCTCATATAAACTGCTCTCAGTGGAACGTAACCCTTTATACATCAACATCACGGTGGACTTCAGCGCACAGCCCAAGGCCTCCTAAGGGTGAGCAACACACAGGGTACGGAAAGGGCAAGAGATCTTGTTAGCTTGAAAGAGGACTTCAGTAGCACAGGAGAGTCTTTCTTCACAGCATCTAATTGATTGGGAATTCCCTTTTGTGAGGGCTGGAGCCATGGGACAGGTCCTTGTGTTCTGCTGGGACATTCACATTAGTGTCCTTCTTTGGGCTGGGCCAGTGGAAGGACTTGAAGCAAGTCTCGTGGAAAAAAAGACTTGTTCTTGCAACTATTCCTAAACAACCTGTGGTCGCATTAAAAGGACAAGAATCCTTCACCAAGTGCAAACTTGCTGAGGAAAGCTGCTTTCTTTTTCCAGCCTGAGGAAAAACTGCCTGTGTGTGAGGGAAGGAATAATGGTCATGGGTGAGGAGATGTTAAAGATCTCTCAATAAATACACTCCAGTGACTGCAGAAGGCTGCTTCTCCTGTGCTTCATGAGCTCAGCTCAACCTGTGGTGGGATGGTGGAAGTGTCCTGTGTCAAAACAAGTCTTGGTGCTGTGGGTTGTGTGTTACTGGGCAAAGATGTGGAAGGAGATGCTGTGGCCAAGTCAGATGGAGAGAAACTCCTGACCCTGGTTCTAATGCTTTGGGCCAGACTGTTACAGTTAGACCCTGGCTGTTATTACTTGTGATTCAGGTTTTAGAGGACTGGTGAGAGTCTGTGGAGAACTGTTCCACAGCACTTCTAAACTCTTGATGAGAACACTTCCCTTTCCTTACTGCATTCTATACGTGCTTGTTGGATATGCACCCATTAGTGACAGTCAGGAAGCCAGGCTTTGGAGAGTTTCTTCTAGGACACAGCACATGCCAAAAAGCAACTTCTGCTTTACATATCAAGCAGTGATGCTGTACTTGGTTGCCCCATCACTCCACCTGCAGGAAGACTGAAGTTTTAACCAAGTTCTTGGGTGTTAGCGGGGTACACACAGCTTTTCAGCAAACGGGATTTATTATGTACATGTAACAAGCAAAACTACCCCGTGTGATGCTCACACAATAACAGGAGCTGTGCAGAGGAGGAGAGACTGCAGAAAGGGCAAGGCCTTGGGCACTCAGGTAAGTACAGGTGCATGCCTGCAGGGTCCCAGCTCCACTCCTGGCATGCTTGACTCTTCTTGCTGAAGTATTTAATTTCTCAGAAGTGTTTTATGTTAAAGACAGCTCAACCTTGAAATACAGTTCATGTTTGAGCCATGGCTGAGTTACTGGATTCATTTCCCTGCTCTGAGCAGGAGGTCAGGCTTGGTGACAGCCTCAGCTCTCATTCACCCTCAAGTCCTCACAGCTACAATAACCACATTTAAACAGTGATGGAGCAGGCAAGAAAAGAGCTTTCTCCTTTATTACACTCTTAGTAAATATCCTAGAAAAGTGTGAACCCAAACACAACTCCATTTGACTCAAATTCACCAGATATTTACAGAACTTAACCAGCTTCTATACTTGAAGTACAGCATGTATTTTAAGAGCTTTCATCCCAATCACCATTTAAGTACAAAGCAGGACAGAACTATCCAGCTCTGGAACAAAGGTTCCAGAGAACTTGGTTAAAGAGACCTTGATCCCTGAGGGCTGGGAGGTGGCTCAGGAGTTAGTTTTACAGTATACAGGAAGCCCCAGCCTGGTTATTTGCTATCATACCCTATTCCTGAAGCCTTTTCTTCTAACTTTTACACAGAAGAAAAGAGAAATACATGAAAGACATGAAGGATTAGTCTCAGGTGGGACTGCCACCAGGAGGTAGAGGCTGAAGGCCCACATGCACACTGCCATGCTGCACCCAAGAACCCCTTTTGTTTCCATTCCCCTAAGAAAAGGGGGGAACATAACCGATGTCCACAGTGATGTTGGTGTAAAGAGGATGCTTAGTCCTGGAGAGGAGCTTGAACTCTAATGAATTCATTCCATCATCTTTCCATGTTTTCCTGGTGTTGTGGTGGGAAGCAGGCCTGAGGAAGGAAGAATACCTGCAGTTAGATAGAAGAACAAAGGTGATGTTTGCAGCTGAAGAAACAGCCTTCCAAGGGCTTAGCAGGGGACAGCTGCCAGCAGAAAAGCCCCAAGAAAATTCTTCTCACACAATACAGACTAATAACAATCCACAATCCAGAGAGAAGGCACTTTGTAAAACTGAACGGATCAGATTAAGTTCACTCTGAGTGTTCTAAACACAGAGGACAATTGGGACTGGAACCTAATCAGAGCAGTGAGGTGATAACTACAGTCTGAAAGCAACCAGGAACCAGCAGCAGCTTAGCAAGAGCAGGGTGTGCACGACAGGGGCTCAGAACAATGATGTACACAGGCTGCTCTAGGTGGGTTTTAAGACAGGGTTGCTATGGAAGCCTGGGGTTTGAGATGATAAAGGGAAGCCTTCACCACACTTGACCCAACACCCTCCTCCAGCTCTTTTAGATACAACTGAGTGAGGTCTCTCAAAGCCCCTTCCTCATGTCTTCACACTAGACTACTGCTTTCCAGTATTTTAACAGCACGTTGTAAATCCACACAGATTGAAGAGCAGGTTTGTATTATAGGGAAGTTGTAACAAAGTGCCTCTTCACACTGAGCTCTCCCTATTTACAAGACAGGCGGTATTTCCTTTCCCAAGTTTTAAGCATCAAATGACTCGGGGAATAAGTCTGTGAGCTTCCTAACTAGCAAGTGTCCTTAACAACAGGGAAAAAGGTTGGACACCAGGAGAAACCTTTCAAAACAGAGACAGTCAGTTGCAACTGAATCATTCTGCTCCTGGGAGACTCCTTTAAATAGCCACATGAAAGCAGGAAGACAAGCAGTGGCATTAGACATAGTGATACTTCCTGCCTGTTCTGAGGCAGATGATGGCAACAAGGCAGAGAGCAGCCTCCTAACTCCACACACCACCCCCCAACACTTACCTTCTCCAAGGCTCTTGTGTCTCCATCCCTTTATCATAGTCCATAACTTTGTAGCGTCCCAGGTGAGGTGGGGTCCGGACTATTTTCATTCCTGCCAACTGAATCCTTTAAAACAACAAAGGAAATGGTTGCTTAGGCATAAAGATGCCATTTCTAGGCTTAGGTATAGGGGAATGCAAACCCAGGGATGATTTGCAGTGTTGATGCAGGAAAAGCAAAAGGCTGAAGGGAGTGGGTTTAACATCACAGTGCCACGTTATCTCCTCTAGCAAGTCCTACCCAGGCTTGGGCTGGAAAGCTGCCAGCTGCAGGGTGCTTTGACAGTGTACAAAGAGGATTACAGCAAGCAGGGAATGAACAACAGCACAGAGAGCATTCCAGAGCTATCCCCTTCAATCTGACAACTGAGCATGATTCTCACTCCCTTGCAAGAGCAGAGCTTTCTCTGCCTAGGTCTCCATCACTGAAATGAAAACAACCCCAACAGCCAAACTTACAGTTTCTGAAAGGAAACCAGTGCTGAGATCCAGATCATAGAATCATGGACTGGTCTGGGTTGGAAAGGACCTTAAAGCTCATCCAGTTCCAACCCCCTGCCATGGGCAGGGACACCTCACACCAGAGCAGGTTGCTCCAAGTCCCTGTGTCCAACCTGGCCTTGAACACTGCCAGG